AAAAAAAGGAAATACGGGAAGCAGCAGTAGAAGAGAATAAAAGTGGAAGTCAAAATCCCTAATTTTTGCCTTGCCATTCGAGACTCTTCCTTTTCTCTCCATGGAATTTCTGTAGTCTCCTCACCCTCTCCCCTCTCCACACTGTAAAAAATTTGCACCATCAGAATTCACCTTCCCTCAAAATCCCGCGCATCGACAATTCAAAGGGCAAGCAATTTGAGACTTGCATGAGACGCCACAAGGAAGATCATCCCGACATCCTGGTGCTGACGAGAGCACGAGCGAGGTTCCGCCACTAGAACTCGAGCCGGAACTTCAACAAGAGCCCGACCCGATAACGGAACCTACCTTTGTTCTGAGGAGAATCTTCAGCTCGAAAATCAATGGCAACATACTCGATTTAAGGGTTTGGTGAATAGAAAAACTCTGCTAGTGTTTATATGGATGAGGGGACTTTCTGGCGGATGGAGATGTTAGATGATGTGCTAAGCTTGTTCGCCACACAAGGATGGTCTAAATTTACGACTGAATGCTTGTCGATGTATCTTGAGTTGACACTCAAGTTCTCAAGTTTGTTGCATATTAAGTTTAATGAGATTTCCGCCCAAGTGAAACTAAATCATCCCACCCGACCTTACTCCCATTCAACTACTGAATCACCCCACCCGACCTTACTCTCATTAAACTCCTTGATATTTGGACCATCCTTGTGTGGCAAACAAGCTCAGCACATCATCCAATATCCCCATCCGCCCGAGAATCCCCTCATCAATATAAATAGCAGAATTTTTCTATTCATCAAACCCTTAAATCGAGTATGATGCCCCATGATTTTCGAGCATTAACGAGACTCACCTCGTAATTCTTCAAGTTCCGTTCACGAGTCGAGCTCCTGTTGGAGTTTGGGCTCGAATTCTGGTTAGCACCTAACCATAATGTCGGGGTGATCTTCCTTGTGGCGTCTCGTGCAAGTCCCGAATTGCTAGCCATCGATGCGCAGGTTTTGGGAAGGTGAATTCTGATGGTGAATATTTTTCAATGTGGAGGGGGTGAGTGTAGAAATTCCATAGAGAGAATCCAACACCATTCGGAGTCCGTTAGACCCAAAAAAGAGCGGATCATGGAAAACAAGTTCAGTGGCACACCAGATTACCCATGTATGAATAAGCTATCAAGATGTAACCACTGATCAAGAAAAAACAAGATCACACCCCTCCAACTAACCAATAAAGTACAACTATCACCGAAATTCCTGATTTTTGAAAAAACAGCCCATAGTGAAATTAAATCTTGTCAACCCACAGGTCATAAAGGAAAAGGATAATCTAATTTCTATATATAATCAATATTATAAGCCACACATCACAAAATTACGACAGCAAGAGATTAAAGATGTATCAGAACTAAAACCAATTTCACCAGAAGAGAATTCTCTAAATAACTAGATGGAATTTCAGCTGTTCAATAGATGAAGCTCTACAGATCTAATATCAGCACATCAGGAGCAAAATTAAACAGTTTCTCAAACAGTAACAATCAAAACCAAAGGGGATCTATAAAAATCCGAGCTAAAAGTAAAGCGTCTGGTCATTTCAAAGCAAGGTGACGTGGGAGTTAGAGATTTACTATTCAGGATTCATGGCTGGACGCGATGATTCGACGGCGAGCGGACGAGGACGTTCTCTTTCTGACTACGAAGACCGGCCCCGAGATGGAACCAGCGCCGGTGGAGTTGAGCAGATTGAATCGAGGAACGGCGGAGAGGTCAGAGCTTGCAATGAATGGAAGATGGAAAATAATGTGAATGAATATGATGAAGGTGAGATGAAAATGCAGTTGGGCTTTATAGACACCGACAGCGGACGATTGGTGAAAGACTTCGAGGAAAGAGTCCTGGATTTTACTCAAATTACAAATGGCACCCGGAAAACCGGAAAAGCTTTATTTTTATTTTTTATTTTTTTTTTATTGATTAGCTTAATAATGGAGTTTTACGAATATAGTTATGAAAACTAGTTATCAACTCAGTGCTAATGCACGGAAACCCGAATATATGACTAAGTAATGAGTACAAAAATATAATCATAGTTAGATATATTTTCCACAACATCATTTGAAGTTATCATTTTAATTGCGTTATAGCTGTTAACGAACCTTACAACACCTAAAAGCAAAAATTACGAACATCGTTATCATAAAAAATTAGACTAGACATATGAAATTAATAAGGTTAAATTTTAGATGTGTCATCATCAAAAGTGTTGCCCCCAACACATTAAAATTATGACAACACCGCAGTACCGACAAATTAGCACTCTCAAAAATTAAGTGCAAGTAATTTGGTGGCGCCCCTAAATAATCTGTTCAAATTTTTTGAATAAAAATTAATACTATTTCGATAAAACGTAAAACATAGATTAAAAAATAATAAAAAAATAAATTATTTACTCCAAGTCTTCAAGTAGAACTTCAACAAATCTCTTTGCCACTTCCTTTGACGTGGTGGATAATTTGCACATTTTGGTGCACAACCAATAATCTCTAAAAAATTATAATTATAAAATAAATATTATGGCATTTAAGTAAAGTAAAAATACAAAGTTGAAAAATAATAAATAAGAGATATTACCAATAAGGAGTGTTGGAACAACCGTATTGTGATTGCTCAACTCCTTCAAATTCTTGAATTTGTATATCCATCTCATCAATAACTTCAAACAACTGGTCTTTTGATAAAATAAGAACTTAAGAGTATTTGGAGTAGTTTGGTAGATGTGGCGTCAACGATAACTTTTAACAAACAAATTTAATATATGTGACCCTTTTCATGAGGAAGATCGTTGAATTTCTTCACCAAGTTTAAAGGAGCAAATGCATGAATACGGTGACCTTAACATTAATAATAAAATAAAAAAATACAAACATTAGACAAAATAGATGAACCATCATAAAAGAAGAAACCGTGATACTCAAATTTTAAATACCTCAAAATCATGGAAACAAACTCCAAGCCGATTATTTTTTAATAAAATATGTATATTGTAAAAATAGTATTTTAATATGATGGTTAGACTGACGTAACACAAGGCAACCGAATGATCTAATTATACCAAAGAAAATTAACTATTGACACTAATGTAACACCACAAAATATTTAATAAAAAAGAGAGCAGGCCTGGTGCAAATTTAAGCCCAAAGGACGAACAAGTTAAAGTATAGAATTCATCCCATGGACAGCCCAAACAAACGATGTTATAGGGTTGCCGATCACTTTGATCGCCATGCTGATCAAATGCAGAAGCTTCCGAGGGAAGAAAGATGATCACCTTTATCGTCTGAACGTAGACCGAAAAAACTGATAGCACCGCCCGAGCTGTCTCATCTAATTATGCATGGAAACACGTAGTGTCACCCTACGCCCCTAGTTGGCAATCCGCATTTAATCATCGTCACTTTTTCCTTATATAAATACCAACCCTCAAGTCTGATTTAAGCAAGCCAAGTAATCAATAATCGATCATTCAATCGATAAACACCATATACATATACAATATATCCTCATGTAAATTGGTCCTCTGAGACCATACTCTATCAAACACTCGGTTATATCCATACAATCGATCAATAAAAATTCCAGAGAACAATCTCCTTGTCAATCGCCACAACAATATCGGTATCTTGCTCTTTTTATGCATTTATTTTATTTCAATCTCTCTATATGCCATATCAATATACTATAATTATACTGTAACCCATGCTTAAATTGCCCTAAATACATTTATCATAACCGATGGCGACCCACAGTCACACACAAAATTAGTCGGGGCATAGCTAGCTCCGGATACCGTGGCTGACTACAAAAAAAAAAATAAAAAAAAATTAGAATTGACTTCACCTCAATTGTAAAGGACATTTTTCGATAGTAATCTTGCAAATTGTGCACACGACATTTCCTTTTATTAGTTGAGCATGTAAAGGGATGAAAATGGAAACGGTAATTTCCGATTACTGAGAATCGTTTTCGAAATTTTTTGGGATTTGGAGGCTAAACGGAAACGGGTAACCGGAAAAACGGAAATGAAAACGGTAAAAAAATTCGAAAATGAAAATGAAAACGGTTTAGCCCTTTTCCGATCGTTTTCGAAAATTACCGTATTTAAACGGTATTTTACCGTCGGTAATACCGGCCCAACTCATACTAGGCTTACTTTTAATTATAAAGCCCAATCCAAATCCCAAATGGGCCAAATGCCCAAATCCCCTTCAGCCCAACCCTGTGCCCAAATCCTGAAATCCCCTTTCACCCCTTTCGGTCTTCACTCTCAAAATCCTGAAATCCCCTTCAGCCCAACCCTGTCATCTCTTCCATCGGCCGACGGCCATCGCAATTCGCCGCGCCTGCTCGTCGTCACTCCCGTCACCTGCTCGTCGCCGCCGCGCCCCACTCCCATCAACGTCGCAACCGCACCACCTGCTACAGGCTCCAGCTGCCGCCGCCTACCCCACTTTGAATTCACGCCAATAGTTATGGAGCCACCAGAAAAACCTGGACATCCTGGTCTTGTCACCGGAGCTCAGAAATCGGCGAAAGACTCCGGTAAGCTTCGTTTCATATAGTTCTAGTGTGAAGATAATGATTTCAATTCTTTTCAGGCCTTTTTATTATTCTTTTCGTGGAATATTTATATGAGTGTTAAAATATTTTTCCATTACATATTGTAGGATGAATTCTCAGAAATGGGACGTGATGACGATGTGGCAATTGATAATGATGATTTGCCTGAGATTCAGTTGTAGGCATACGACAACTGCTGTGAAGGACAAGTTTATATATTATGTTTAACTCTCATCATTGTTTTAGTGATTTGTGTTTTGAATTCTGGATTTCGTTTGTTGTGGTTTTTTTGTGGATTTGGTGGTTCCATGGTTGATTCTCACCTAATTGCTCCCATTTCATGTTTCAAATTTCAATTGCTACTATTATTCCATGAGAATTTGATGGACAAGTCACAATTCAATTGTTAGTTATTGGAATTTGTATGGATTTTGTTATAGCAAATGGTGTGGATTTTAATTTGGATTTTGCCACTATTATGTCGTGAGAATATTTCAATTTATGTTTTAATGCTATATTTTATAATGTGGTGTGTTTATCGTTTTTTAAATACCGTTTTAATATATTTCGATCGTTATCGATGTATTTTCGATCGGATAGTTTCGTTTTCGATATTACCGGAATACCGATGTCGTTTTCGTTTCCGACATTATCGTATCATTTTCGTTTTCGAGAAAAAAATATGAAAGTGGAAATGGTTGAGCCCTATGCCGATCGTTCCCGATCGTTTTCATCCCTAAAAGAATACCATGCACAAAAAATGAAATACAAAAGTTTGCATCAAATATGGAGTAAATTTCACCTTGCAGTCACAAGATTTTTCATTGTTGGATCAACACACATTTGTGTAGATATGTGTGTGTATTGATCCAACGATAAAGAAAGTGTGATATATTTTGAGAAAAAAAAAATAGAAATGATTATGACCAGTCACTCATATAACAACATCAACACGATGTGAAGTGTAGCATGCTGAATTTAAAGTGAAATGGATTCTTAAATTGCTCAGGAGTAACAACAAATGAGTTATTATACCTAATAAAAAAATAATTCTTTTCCTTTGTGCATTCTTTACCCACTTTCTAGATACGATCAATTCTCTAACTCGAATGAACAAAGGAGTAAATACTAAATACTTAAAAGAATTTAATTTGAATCAAGTGTGTGCGGTCGTCGCAAATAAACAAATAATTGAATGAGTACGGCATTAACCTATATTATCCTCAATTTATTATACTCACTTGAGACGGTACTCATATGGACAGAGAAGTAAATACTTACTAATTCAATTGAAACAAGTGTGTGCTATCGTAGCAAATAAACAAATAATTGAATGAGTGACACTAACCTATATTAAAATTATACTCAATCGAGACGGTTAGTTAAAATTATAAAAAAACATCTCTTTGAGTTTCACTTTAAGTGTTTATATCACTCTACTTAAATTAAATAGTATGTTATAGCTACAAAAAAACATCTTTCTAAGTGTCACTTTACCTATATTACTCAACGTACTCCTGACATCCCTAAGTGCAATATACAAATATTAAATATTCATGCAAGAAATTTGATCATAAACTCCATATACCTACTAGTGGTGCTATATATATATATAATATAGTACCAAATCAACACTAGCTACTTTAAGCCACAAATTATTTCATATAAATGGTGCTAGCCAACTAGTCCAGATTCCCACAACACAATACAAAATGATCACTTTCCTCCAAAGGTGAAAAAGGTTCTTGATGATCAATACAACATACATGTAAATATATTCTTAGTCCCTTTATTGATTAGCATCACAAGTGCCAAAACATATATTCCAACTGAGATT